GAACCTTGAGAACAAGGTTCTTTTTGGAGACAGGTGTATTGTTGTGAACCAAGTTAGCTGTATTAGGGCCTACGAGTTAGAACTTAAAATTAAGATTGGGCCCAGTAAAATATTGGAGTGTTTTATTTGGGATCCAGGCCCAATTATAATTTTGTTTAAAGACAAAATGAGTTAGAAAGAAGGGTTTATACATATTAAAGAAAATGTTTGTCTTCTCTTCTTCTTCTAGAATCTAAGTCCTCATCTTCATTCTTCTTCTATCTTTAGTTACTCTTCGTTTCAATATTTCCATTGTAATTTCGTAGTTAGTTTATTTCAATTAGAATCTTAAGGTTGTAATCCTATTCTAGTGCTCTTATTAATATAGTGAGGATTTCAGTTTGTTACATTGGTGTGTATTGTTGCGAACCAAGCTGACTCTATAAGGGCCTATAAGTTAGAACTGAGAAATGAGATTTGTCCGAGTAAAATATTGAAGTGTTTTATTTGGGATCCAGGCCCAATTAGCATTTGGTTTAAAGACAAAATGAGTTGGAAAGAAGGGTTTATGCATATTGAAGAAATGTTTGTCTTCTCCTCTTCTACTAGAATCTAAGTCTTCATCTTCATTCTTCTTTTATCTTTAATTACTCGTTATTTCAATATTTCCATTGTAATTCGATAGTTTGATTATTTCAATTAGAATCTTAAGGTTGTAATCCTGTTCTAATGCTCTTATTCATATAGTAAGGAATTTGATTTGTTACATCCAACGAGGCAAGGAGGAGTAAAGGAAAGTGCTTCTCCATTCGGCGAGATGCCAGCCACTTTGGTGACTCGCTGAACCCTTTGGCGAGGGTTCCAGGATTGCCGACGGATCCAATGAGATGAAAAGAAAGGTTTCCCATTCAGCGAGCGTATAGGATATTCAGTACATCGCCCTTTGAACCCCAAACCACCGAAAGTTACAGCAAGCCATCCAAGGAGAAGCCAATGAGCAGGGCTCTCGCCAAACTCATTTGGCAGATCGTTGAGTCATTTGGTGAGCCCGATTTGGCTTGCCCATTGGCCTATTTTAGGGTCACTTTTGGGGCTCATTTATGTAACAAGTCCTAACACTATAAATAGGTGTCTTAAGGTTCATTTTAAAGGTTACTTATTTTGAATATTGTGGTTGTAAACCTAAATCCTTGTGTGAGTGTTGAAAGCTTTGTAAGATTTTGTTGAGAATTGTTTAGAAATGAGGGTTGCTTGGGTTATTGATTCCCTCAAGCTGGTCTTCGTAAGAGTTGAATTCTTGATGGATTAATGAGGTGAGGCCATTAGTTTGTTCTTTATTTCCTCTTTTTGTGTCTATCTATTAATCCGAATTTGGTACTTGTTAGGATCTAGATTGGAGGTTGTTGCAAGAACTTAAAAATTTCTACTACTTAAGAAAAACAGAAATAGAAGCAAAAAATCTATTTTTTTAAGACCAAACTATTGTTGCCCTATATACATATTTAGGGAAAATGCACAAGTACCCCCTCAACCTATGCCCGAAATCCCAAAGATAGACTTATACTATAGTTAGGTCCTATTACCCCCTGAACTTATTTTATAAGTAATTTTCCACCCCTTTTCAGCCTACGTGGCACTAACTTGAAAAAAAAAGTCAACCAGCGTAGGGATCACAAGATAGTACCATGTAGGCCGAAAAGGGGTAGAAAATTATTAATAAAATAAGTTCAGGGGGTAACAGGACCTTAGTATAGTATAAGTGTGTCTCTAAGATTTCGGGCATAAGTTAAGGGGGTATTTGTGCATTATCTCATAAAATTATTAGAAGCTTGCTCACAGTAAAATAGGAAGAAAGAAGTTGAGTCCAACGCCACCTCTCAAAAGAAAATGATTTTTGTTGATATTATATATGGGAAAGATCAAGAGTAGCAAATTGATGGCTTCATCATCAGCCAACTAACTTCCTTTTGCAACATAATGATTATTTAGTAATTGAGAAGTTAATGTGCCATTCAATATCATCAAATGAACACCAACATTAAGCAAATTAAAGCTTCAAATAATTAAATTAATGTGAGTAGTGTAGAACCATAACATTATACTCAACAACAGCATACCACTGGTCCTATTGAACCAATAAGTCTTCCCGTTGGTGATTCCCTGAGCCAACTGAAAAACACCAACAATTGGCATTTCACGGTAGTTTTGAAATGCATTACGGCCAATAATACTCAATGTGCTCCCATTATACTTTCCAGTTGTGAACACAAAAATTTAGCGTCATGAGAAGGGCACCCGAATCTTGATCAGCTGAACCATAAATCCCTTGGGCTCGATCCACTATTGTCGAGTTAGACCCCAACTATTAGTGGGTCGTCTATCATTGTAGCAGACCCAAAGGAAGTTGGGTATTTGGCAGTCATGTTGGATTGGGCTATTTGGATTGCAGTTGGAATTTTTTGCACTAACTTATTCATGAAAATAGAAATGAAATTTAGTTACCTTTTGCTTTGCATGAGGAAGTTTCTTGAACCATTTTTCAACAGCCTTGGAACCTAATTCAACGCCTTGAGCCATTGGCATGGCCATAACAAGTATAACAAAAGCAATAGAACTTGTTTTTTCCTTCTCTTAATTTCTTGAGAAAGAATGCATTAATCGTATACAAAGAGATTGATATTTATATGGAGTGCGTGAGTAGAGGAAAAGTTCTAGGATAAATTAAGATTAAATCATAAATGTAATTTAATCAAATTATATTTTTAGTTACTTATTTTCTTAACAAGTAGTTTTGTTAGGTGATACGGTCAATTCATGAAGCCAGAAGAAGATAAATTGTAAGCCTTGAGCGGAAAACATGTACGTGTGAAAGGTTTCAACATGATGAGATGCCTTGCGCACATGCAATTGCAGTTTTGAAGCACAAAATGTTAGAGATATGCACCCATATTGCTCCGGTTATTATAATCCTGATGCATTAGAAAAAACATACGAGATTGTAATGGTTCCAATGCCTGAGAAGGAGGATTGGACCGTTCCAGACTATGTTTTAGATGAAATTGTCCGACCACCTAGGTATAGAAGGTTGGCTAGAAGACCAAGGAAGCGAAGAAAGAAAAATACGGATAAGAAGATAACAATGAACAAGAATTCTTGTTGGCAATGTGGACTAGAAGGACGCAATAGGAGAACTTGTACGTTGTTATCGAAAGAGAATTAAAATAATTTTTTAAAATAGGACATTCGTGTTCATGGTTAATAAATTTCACTTATATGTAATTTTCACTTTAGTATTTGGATTGAATAAAGTGTATTGGTTACACAATTTATTTGTTGTTTAACTAAATGCATTTTTTTAGAATTGTGTGGCAAACTTATACTGAATATAAAATTATTCTTATATTGTTAAATAAATAAATAAATATGATGTATAAATTATGAAAAATAATTAATGTGTAAATGAAAGAAATATTGTCAAAACCATAATCATGATTTAAACAAATTTAAGTGTCTCAAACTTTGCTTTTTCAAGTGTGTATTATATGTATCATGTACACTACGTTATTATATCATATACAATATATAATAGTAAAAAATCACACATTAAAACTATTAAAACTATATTAGATAAAGTTATAATTTTGATATATTTTTCCTTAGCAGTACTGTTGCCTTTCAATTTAATAGTATGTTGTGATTTGTTTGTTGATGTATATGATGTATCATATAATTCAAGTGTCTGACACATAAATGCAATTGACATATATGAATAAAATTCCAATTACAAATATGCATAAAACATATGTATCGAATACATTATTTCATAAGTAAACTATCAAAATACTTAAACTTAAACGATGATGATTGTGGAGATTAATGTTATATAGCAAAAAATATATCTAAAGCAGTATATTGAAAACACATAATGTTAATAACTAGCAAAATACTGTAATACAATTAAGTTTGTAGAGAAACACATAAAAAATAAATTGTCTTCAAAACAAAACAACATGAAAAATTGGTCATGCTATCCCTACTAAGTACTAATTTATGTTAACAAAGTCTTGTTCAGTTGGTGTTGTAAATTGACTCTTAGGCTTTGGTGGATCGTCATTCTCACTTATATGTTCACCCTTGACCTTGTCGCTGTCGTATCTCCATAACAATGTTGCGTATCTATTGCATAGATAATTTGCAAGATGGCCATCAGTATCAAGTGGTATAACAAGTTGGTCACTCAAAAACTCTACAAATGTAGCTACATATAATCAGCAGTCCCCACAACAAAATGCAAAATATAAATTTCTAAAAACAACTTACACATATTATTGTAGTCCAGAATTTAAATACCTACAGACTATCGTCTTCTTGTTGCATGATGCCTTCAGCGTATTCAATGTTGAAAGGATTATGTGACTTTAAAAGTGTAGCACTTTGTTTGTCCTTATATGCATCAAGTGTTGGACATTTAGTCGCTCAGTTTTTACAAAGAAACCACTGTCAAGGAGGTAAGAAGGTAGCATCCTTGACGATTTTTGTATTTCCTCAGAATATACTCATTTTTTTATGCCTAAATAAGAGACATATACATGTATCAACCTTTGATTCAATTCAAAAATAGTTAACACCCAATGAAAATTTCCATCATAATTAATTGGAATATAAACATCGTCCACAAGATGTCATGGCAATCAAGCTGATATTGAAAGTCTTTTCATGATGATTATTGACCTATCATATATTGATACTGCTCTCGTTCGATCAATGTGTTCTTGGGTACTAATATTATCATCAGACTCATTGTTATAATACCTTTCATGGGTACTATTGATATGTTCACTGAACAAACAATTGGCAATTGTGTATATGTATTGATTCATGCTGCGAAGTTTTGAAAGAAAACATAATAATTATAAACATAATTATACATTTGAAAGAAAACATAATAATAAAATGTTAGATACTGAAAGTGGTATATGATATTGATATGTATATAACACATATTAATTGAATGTACCATACACATTAAGAAACCTATATATGATACATTTGCAGACAGGTGAAATTTAAATATATATGTCAAAATTACTTGATTAGTCCAGCAGTTTTAGGGCTGGGACATGGCATAAAATCAATTTTTATTCGACGGATATGCAACAACATAATCCATCATTTCAAAATCCAATGAAGAGGCTCTTGCTTTGTACTTACCCTCTGATGGTTTCCTGTATTATTAAGTGTAAAGAAAATATGTTATTTAAAAGCAGAACAAGAGTTTGTAATTTCAATATTGAACAAATCAATAAAAAACATATAAAACTTACTTTTTAGCATTAGTTTTAAGAAGACATGTAGTAACTCACTCAACAAACTCATCAATCAGATATGAAGGAGCTCGGTTTGTGATCTCACATCCTTCAAATGAAAAATTTGGATGAATTACATCCTCTATGGCCTCTTCTCCTTTTTCACTTGCCCCAAATGAAGTTAAATAGGGAGATTTGCAGTTTTTTGAAGGCATCCTGATACGTGCATGAGGAGTATTTGTAACGCTTCGGATAGAAATCTCTGTTATTGAAATATCAGTGGATAATTAACTGTCCGAAAGCGAATTTTGATTGTTGGTTAACTCCTGTGAATTTGCACTATTTACTAGTTTAGCATGAAATAGACAATCTTCCTAGATCAACAATAAGTGTATTCATGACTTCTTGAGTATCAGATGATATTGTACCAGATGTTGCAGATCCTATAAGATTTAAATTGATATTAAAAAAGTTTGATAAATTATATGATATTTAAATGATATATGAAACATAAATTACCGATGTATCAAATATAATAAATTTGGCACAGATTGATTGGTGTTGTGTTGAACATTAATAAAGCATCTTCATTCATTGTTCCTTCGAATAAATGATGAGGAATTTGTGATGATGGATCATCCTGAATAACAACGCACTGATTAGTGTAGGATACATTATAGAACAAAAAATCATATACAAAGGACAATTAATGTAACAATGGCAGATTACATCAAACTACAAATTACATATAGTACACAAACAATTTTAATTAGTCACAAATTATTACAATGTAATGTATCCATACAAACATAATTAAAAGTAAACTACAATGTATCAGTATTATAAAAGTAAGCTGCAATGTACAGTATCAGCCAAGTAAACTGCAATGTATCATATTGACACAATTTGATGTATCACTACAAAATTGGTGTATGTTAATAGTTAATTTACGATGATAAAATTACTTTCTTATGCTCAGATGTTTCTGTAGTATAATGATGAATAAATGCATCTGAGGATTGATGTTCTCAAACGTCCTTCATTTCTTGATGATTCTTCAATGTATCTTCAGTCTGTATTTTTTAAACATGTTTTTTCAATCAAAATAGGTTAACTATAAATCATACAATTTGATATACGCAATTAATAAAGTAAAATAAACCTGATTTTCAACATCAAAATCAGGTACACCAATGTTTTGATTGTTGTTGGCAAAATCCATTTGTACCCGTGAGGTTGATTGTTGATCAAACTTAAAGGTACTTGTTTGATGTCCATCATTGCCTTCTTTATCGAAAGCTTCAACCATGTACGTGTTGACTTGCTTCCCATCTCCTTCATGAAATAAATTTATAGCGTAATGATCTATGAAAGTTAAAACACACAAACAAAACACATATACAATACAGTACCTTTGGTTGTTGGTCGTCCTCCCTATACCTAGAACTCATCACCTCAGAGTTACTTGCCATTATCAAATTCACAAGATACTCAAATTTACTTTCAACCTATTAAAAAAATTTAACATTTAGTTTTATATTTATGAATAAACATAAAAATTGATATCATTACTTACGTATTCCTTCATATGTTGTTTCAGTTCATCAATATCGAGATACACAGACTTATTTTTTTAGACTTGTGAAGAGACATGGGCAGAAGATACATTAGCATGTGGGGTAGGTTCTTCATCTGCATTGCGAATGACTGGTTTAATGGCGGTCTTAACTGCTCTAACAATTTAGGTTTCAATTCTTTTAGGTGTATCAATTTTCTTTCTTCTTTTGGGTGGTGGCGGAGATGATGTACTAGATACACGTGATGATTTTCTCAATAAACGACCAGGAGGGCTTGTTGAGAAATTCTCAAAACCTGACTTATCTTTTGTTTGCATGAACAGCTGTTGTGGATGGTTCAGCACTATGAGCATCTTGAACATCAGGTAAGTCAAGGACTTCCACTTCATCTGGTGTTAGTACAATGTTTGAACATGCATTTTGCATTTTAAATGGTTGAATGTTATGGCAATATTATGTATAATACAAAAAATATTATTTACAACAAGATTTACAATCAGGACCGTCCAATTACAAATCTTGGGAAATCATTTGCTACTTTAACAGCAAACTCTGGATTTAGACTAGATTCACATTCGTAAATTCATACGTTGAGTGTATAAGGCATATCAAATAAGCGATACATTCATTTATTTTGGTTGAAGTCTTATCTGAGTGATGTAATTAGCTTATAGAATGCAATCTGACCCCAAAAATACAATTTATACCTACCATCTTCAACCATTAGAAACTCTTCGATACGTATGATGGTCTCACCAAGATGGCATAACATGAAAGATTGACGAAGTATAATATATCCATCTGAACAGATTCCTGTGTGGTCTCCCAACTCCCCATTGCAAAACATTGTATCAAGCGACTTTTGGTTATACCTGTAGTCAAATCAGGGAAATATTTTTGTAATAATCGGCTTAGAGTGGATTTCGAATATGACAAATCCTTAACATTTTTTTTGCATTTAAGGCCAGTTACAATGGCGAATTCTTTTATAACAATCATTAATACAGTACCATTAGCATGACGAACATACAATACATCTCTATTTTCCTGTTGCAACTCCAACAACATATACTTAGTACTCTGACCCTGGAAATTACATTTTGGAACGTTCAAATATGGTCCAAAAATTGTATTCTTGAACATTTCAAAGCCTTCATCCTTTATGGACATTTTGATTTCATTCACAAAATCAAAATTGAACGTTGCTCCGAACCTCAATGGATGTGCTGATATTTTTTTGATAACATAATTCATGCCTTGTTTATACAAAAAATAAAATATAAAATTGTACCTGTCTAATCTCAAACATATGATGTAATGGAGAGTGAATGATACATTGAAGATAATCTGTAAATTCAATAAATACATCACGATTTTATAATGACAGCATATTAAACCCATCGTGAAATGCATAAGATACACGAGTAACTAACAATATTGTACACAAATTTCATTAATGTATACCAATCACATATATGTATAAGACACTTGAATTATATGAATGCACTATACATCATATGCATTCATTAACATATACCAATTACATATGTGTATAAGACACTTGAATTATATTATTGTATATGATACACCATATGCATTGACAATCAAAAAATGTAAATAAATGCTACAACAATGAATGATCATTAATTGAGCAATATATGCATATGATACATCTTCAAAACTATACAATAAATGATGCTTTAATTGAATTTCAAATTAGTGAATCTGTTTTCATTGTTAAATGACTCTTAATTCGATTTCACAAACACATGTATCAATGTAAAATTAGGATTTTGATGTATCAAAAAAACACAAAATTAACCATTATAAATCGATATTGTTCTTACATACTACGAAAATATTGAATTGATAAGTAATGTATCTTTACTATTAATGTATTTAAACTTTCTGTCCAAACACAACAACACCATAACAAAAACATAAAAATATAAAGTTTGTTTAAACGCATACCTTAGGAAGTGCAGGTTGGGAAAAAAGATGTCACTTTTCTTCTCCCTTTTTTGGAGTTTCTCCAACCTTTTTCTTTGGTTTGACAATACTCTTGTCGTTCATCGCTAATGGATCATGCAATCGCTTGGATCTGTTCTCAACCCACATATCATCATCAAAATCATATGTACGATTAACATTAGTATGAGAAACACCAACACTATGCGATGTATTAGATTCCATATGTATCTAGTAAAAAGCACGAAGAAGATAACAATGAAGAATAAAATTCTTACCCATTAAAAACTTTGAAATTGAAAAACCTGAGGGAGATTCCTAGTGAAAATCAAATGGATATAAGTTTTGTAACTACTAGAGATATGGAGAGATTTTAGGAATAAAACTGAAGAGGGTGATGGGTAATGGGAAACGTGTGTGTTAGCTGAAAAAAAGAGTGCACTTTGTAATGAAACGTGGGTATTGGCTGTAAAAAAAAAGGTGGGAAATCTTTATGTATCTTACAAATTTTATTAATTGTTGGATATAAGGGATTTTTGAAAATTTTAAAATAAGTAGGGATAAATAGATATTAATGTCAGTAAAAGAGTGTAATTAAGTAATTTGTCATATATTAAAAGCACCAGATTCAAAAATATTTTTAAATTCCAAATTTAATTGCGAAAAGTAGATGTCAATCAAATAGAATAAAGCCATGAAAGACCTAAAAGATAAAAGGAAATTAAGGGGGCAGGGATACGAAAAATTGAAATTTATGAGTATTAGTAAAAAAATAATTTTTATTTTAAAAGTGAAAAAGATAATAGCTGAAAATTAGAGTTTTATTTGCTCGTGAATATAAATTGAAGTTGTTTTAAAAAATTTAGAAAATTTTGAAATTCAGCTTTTCTGCAATTTTATGATAGGAGTATATTTATTGATCAGGCATATCAATAATGCTATACATATATTATAAAATCAATTAAATTGTGGAATTTAAATTATACATTGCAGCAGTCAGTAATCCCTACAATTTAATTTTGTAGTACTTAAAAAATCCCTACAATTAGGTGTCACATAATTAAGTCACGAGAATTTTTTATATGCCAAGCGTGGTTATAATTAACAAGGGTTTATTAGGGGATTTTGAACCCCACAAATTAATATCAATAAAACTGCACTTCAAATTCTAGGAGTCAAAATCCCAACAAATTTGTGAACTCTAGGAGTTAAAATCTCCACAAATATAAATTTTATATTAAAATTAACGGGAGTTTTAACCCCCTGCAATTTATGAAGATGTGACTTTTTACATCATTTTGCTAGAAAAATTGTATGTTAAATAAGAAAGATTTATCAATGTGTGCATCATAGTTTAGGCCTAATCCATGTGTGATCCCTCAAAATTGGCACGAAATGACTCCTTAAAATTGGCACAAAATTTCACTCAGAAACCTCAATTGGACGATGTTCATTTTAAACCACTCATGTAAAATTTCGTTGTTGTCATTTTGAGGTCAATGTTGTATTCCTTGGAGAATTCATACGTTGTACCTATATAGAGGAAGATAAGAGCTCACCAACTTAATCACGCATATACATCTTTGTTGTGATTTGAAATATTATGTTAATCATTCTCATATTTATTTAATATTAGATATGCCATTTAACTGGCTTATTAACAATGTTGGTATCCTTGTGATCTGCACGATCATCATTCCCACTACGTATAAATTTTCTAGAAATTTATTTTCTCTTGAATAAATGATGTATAAACTAAAGGCGACATTTCTATGTAATTCAAGCAAATAATATGAGGGTAAAGATGAAGTGTATTTAATTCTAGACTAAAATCAAACTTCTCTATTTAGAAATTTCTTTCCCAGAAAAATGATTCTCAAAACATATTACCCCTGCGTTCTAAATTACCATTTTGATTTTGTGTATGGGTGTCAAATGAGCGAGTTTCACTAAATTTTGACATAATATTTACACAAACATACAAACAACAAGAAGACCACTTATCATACTTCAGAAAAAACATATGATTGATATTCTAAAATTAGTAGGGACTAGGGGAAAATATTTTGTTCTAAATTTTTGGCTATTTATAAAGTAAGGAAAAGTTTTATGCATTTTTCTCTCGTAAGTCTAAGTGCCACAACAACTTTAAGATGAAGAGGAATCCTTTAAATGCATTATGAGTTTTTTTATGAGGAACCAAACCCAGATAATAATCAATCGGAATCTGTAATTATAAGGAAATTACTGATACAAATACAATGTCTCTTGGCAAAAGCAGTTGGGTTCACGCGAATCCATGGATTATAATATTGATATGCCTCTGCTTGTTACCTCCATCATAAGCATATTACTCTATACGGGTACTAGGGCTTGATTAATAAGATATCAAATGGGCTCGACAAAATAATATAGGCTACTACTTTAGGCTTATGCTGCTTCTTCAAGATGCCCTCCTTCTTTCTAAAATCAACAAACAACAGTATATGTATTAGGTCATGTTCGAATAACATGGACTATTAATTCCTAGCTATCTTTTAATTCATAGAAATCACTAGCTTCTGCCATCACCCCAAAATCATGGTTCACCCTTCCGAGTCATCAGCAGCTTCAGATTTGTCGCCATCATTAGCTTCAGATTTGTCACTTTCAGTAGTGCCTTCACTTGCATTTTTTTCATGGGAGCAGAGAATAATAAAGTTTCCAATTGACAATACTGTATGAGAAAGTTGGTTCAATTGACAAACATAAATATGTATCTGAATATTACTATTACTATAAAGTTAAGATAGAAAGATAGCACTAGATTTAATTAGTTATACAGCTTAGGCAGTCTTTCAAGCTGCAGCTCTTCCAAGAGGAGAAATAAGGGCTCATTATTCATGATATCTTCTCCTCTTTGTTCCTCTTGTGTGATCACTTTTTCCATTGACACGCAATTTTCTATCAATAGTATTCGTAGATTCCGAGCACCTCTGGTCACTGATGGAGAGATTAAGTTTCTCAATTTTCTACAATTCTTTACTTCCAATGTTTCAAGTTTGCTGAAGTAGGCAATTGGAAGTTGGTGAGAGCATAGAGAACTTATGTTAGAACTATAGATGTCTAGCTCTTTCAGGTTGAGACAAGAAACCTGCAAATGTTCATGGATAAAACTTGGAGCTAGGTAACCAGTCTAATCCGTCCATAATTTTATGTATTCAACTCAAGATAATTTGAATTAAGTTCAAACTCAATTTATTCAAGCCTTAATACATTTCAAATTAAGGTTATAAAAGTTAAATAAAAATAACCAAACTCGATTTTTATAGCCTATTTGAGCTCAACTCATATGACCCCAAAGTAAACTTGAGAGGGTCATTAAAAAAAAGTCTTAAATTTGTTCTTACTTATTTCTTCCTTTTCCATATCTATTTATTTTCGCACTACAAAAATGAAATAAGATTTCAAATAATTATAAACAAATACAGAAATATTTAAAAACTAAAATTAGCCCTATGAATAACAATTGAAAAAGTTAGCTAGTTTCACGATAAGAAGCAAACCTTTTCATGAAAAAGAGGATTTGAGATAGTGATGGAGTCGTTGGCTGTAGGCCAGAAATTTTGAAACTTCAGTAACTCATCGAAGATCATTTTCCGTAACTGAGGGAACTTAATGGCCTCAACATTGTCACTGCAAAAGTGAGTCAGGCATTTCAGATACTGAAGCTTCAACTCATATAAATTGAAGAACTTGATTATTTCATGTCTCCTCCTAGAGCTCGTCAATAAATGTGTCACTAAATTACATCTAGCGAGGCGGAGACATTTCACATTCTGAAGTTTATTTTGTTGCAACTCAGTCAACACATTATTAGATCCCTTTACGATTGAATGTATGAATTCGCTCTCCTTCAACAGGTGGCAGATCCAATTACCCAATGGCCTAGTCTCCATGACCTCTAAAGTAATATTCCTGTCGTAATCATCCATGATTGAAGTCCACATGTCACTCACTGTAAGATTGTACCGTATCAACTTAGAGGAAAGGCTCAAGTTACTGTAGATAACATCTTTGGCACATTTACTTAATGTCAGTGCGGTCAATCTCGATGAGAATTTTAGTTCACTCAAGGTGGAGTAACTACAATATTCTACTACAACCATATGTAGTTCTTCCGACTGAACTAGACTTGATAAGACACCTGTTGAAATCCTTTCAATTGTTTTACACTCATTCCGCAACTCCAACATAATTAGATTGGTTAATTTTCCAATCTCCACTAGCACCTCCACTAACCGAGAATCTCTTATGCTGAGAATTTCTAAAGTGACAAGATTCCCTATAATGGATATGTCACCACACACTAGATTACTCAGACACAACGTCCTCAAACTTGACAACCTCCGAATGGATACCGGCAAAGGCAGAACGGGGTATTCCCTATATACACTCAGGCTGAAGACATTGAGTTTATCCATTCCATCAAAAAAATCATCCTTTTAACTTGAACGAATATTCATCAACCAGGAGTTTCAATATTAAAAACATCAGTTTGGACAAAATATTGATCTAGGATGCTCATCAAATTTATTTGCAACTATTGACATGTGAGTGAAATGCTCATAAAAAGTTCTTCTTGGGAACTCATCTGAGTTAACATGGTGACTTACCATAAAGTTATGCTCTCCCTCAGACGGGATACTTATAGCCACATCACGGACCACATCATGCATTTTAACATAGTTTTTGTCTGAACATTGGGCTAAGAAGAAATAATCATTCAATGTTTCCAACAGAAGACACACTGTACTTCTTGCTTGTTCTAACTTTCCGATTTCTGAAAAGATGCAAAGCCCCCTTCCATATCTTAGTAATTATTCAGGACAGACATTACTATCTCCCTCAAACAAGGAACAAAGCAAAAAGAGGTTCTTCGCTTCATTACATTCCAAGAAATCATAGCTTAGACTTAGAGGTTTATACAACTCTTTGGTCACTTCAGGATTAATTCTTGTTTTATCACTTCTTAATTGTTCAAGGTCACAATCCCACGAAGGCTTGGTTTTAAGGTTTTTTAGTGCTCCTGCAACTATAATAATTACTAGCGGCAGCCCCTTGCATTCTTTGTCAACCTCTTTTGTGATGTCAAGTAGAGACGGATTGTTGACAAAAATACCGACTTTCTGCTTGAAAAAATCCAAGCTTCCTCTTCAGATAACATCCCAATTTCCATGATCTTCTGTGCTCCCATTGCTTCACAAACAGATCGGAAACGCTTTGTGAATATCACTTTGCATTGATGTTTGTAGTTGCTTCCACTTGGAATTCAAAGTCTCTTTAGATCAAGAGCCTTCCATACATCTTCTATGATTATACGAATGTGACTGTTCTGATCCACTAACCTTGTACACAACCGCTCTCCACGACTCAACAATATCATTGAACATCCTTTCTTGCTTCGCCTTTTATCTGATTTTGTTAGCCAGTGTTGTCTTACCAACACCACCCATACCACATATCCGAATCATAGTGGCCCGTCATCATTCAAAGCTTCCATGACCTCATCCTCTTGGAATTTTCTAAAGTCAAACACCTCACCACTATTACTAGGTATAGCCTCATGACTTTGAATTGGACGATCAAAGGATAGAATATTTAGATTGGTGCCTTCACTTTAAAGTTGAATTAACTCCAGTGTAATTTTCTTAGCTCTCATGCTCAGCGAGTAACGTGACTTCAGGTTTGGACACCAACAATAAAATCAACCCCTTTCAACCTCAGTTGTACCTTGCCTTATAGTTTCCACATGTTCAGTAGTGGTATCGACACTAGTTAACCAAGCTTCGCCATTGTGTGAAATGCGTTGTAAGTTTCTCTGGGCAACTTCCGCTCTTTCCTGGACCTTACTTTTGATATTCTTCAGATTCTCACATTCTTTATGCATTCAGCTAATGTTGCTCTTGTAGTAAAATCAATACCCAATCCCTCGAGCAATTTGCTGCATCAAGAAGTCTGTTACCTTTGCCACAACAATAGATAACAACTCCATATCTGATTAATTAATTAATTCTGAACTCTGCTATATATATAGAGAGAGAGACTAGTTTTCTGTATAAGGAAAGCTTAACAAACAGAACAATAATGAAGAATTTGTATTATGACAATGAAAACAAAAAAAAAGTGGGGTCATTATTAAAGTTTGAATGTTTGGTTACATAACATTTCAAAAAATCTGATTCCATATGGCAAACAAAGAAATGTAGATAAAAAGTATAAGTATATGTTTGCTTTTGGAATATTCTCCGCAATTGATCAAGTGAGTCATGTTGAAGCCCTTGTTCTCTACTATTGAAGTGAAAACAAGACTTTCAAATTCTCAAAAGTTTTGAAATTCTACTTGAAGTTAAATTTTATTGTGAGTTTTATGGTCAAACGTGTTTTTCGGAGTTGAATTCCCATAAAAAGTGAAAAAATTTCATGGTCTAAACATCTCCTATTCTCAATTTTTTTGTATTTTCATTCCTCTGTTTTTTAGCTTAAACATCCTATCATTTTTAAGAGTACTTTTGTAGCCATATACGATATTTGATTGTTGATGATTTTTTTTCTTTTACTAGAACAAGCAAATGCATCAGAATTTCCCCAACATTTTTTGGGGGCTTCACTTCAAAAACAAAACAAGTTTTACATGGCACTTAGTAGGCAAAGACTGATTGTGGAAGCACAATCATCAATGCAAACGATAATGGACAACTTACAATCTTACAGAATAAAGTTTCCACTTAATTGTGAGGTTTGTATTATATTGAGATCTGCGAATTATTGTTCGTATTGAGGATGATATACTTATATAACACCATCAAAATCCTGTCTTCATAAATACTCATTAAAATATTTGTATGATATAGGGGTTTAAGTATCGACTTGGTGACTTCCGAGTGCGAGTAGGTAAAGTTGTTCAAATAAATTTTGGTAACTTGAGGGGAATAGTTATGGAGGTATGCAAATACTTTTAGAGATTTTATTCTTAGTTGAAGCTTTTTATAGTAAAACGTTTTTTAAAAATTTAAAAGAAATAGTTATGTTGTAAAATATTATGTTTTTTACACTTCATGGAGAGGAATTCAATTATTGTACTTTACCTAATTAAAAAAATAATTATTGTTCTGAGAATGCTTGCCTCATAAGATGTTTTCTTTTGTAGATGGAGTATCTTCCGATTTCCTCATGGAAAACATCACATTTGATTATGAGTGAATTCTTCGAGATATTGAAGGAAACTCTTGGGAAAAAATCATTACCAGGTCATTTTGTGCATGTTGAACCGAACTTTTCAGAGTTTGGCCTCTCTGATCAATACACTTCACGACATACTGTTGTACAATATGCTAGCATCTTGGCTCAAATGACAACAATGGCTCAATAAGCCCAACCAACAAGAAATTTGAATATTTGTTGACTTTATAAGATTTTTCCTTAGCTTCATAAATGAGTTCGTTATTTTCATAAATATATTGGGAATATGCACATCAATAGTAAGAAATCTTGAAGCTACTATATGATTTCAGATCAATGTAATTCCTTTTCCTTTTTAGTTGGTGATATGGAAATTAAATGATTTCTTTTGTTTGAAGAATTGTTCTTTAAGATTATATGGACTTTTAAGCTTTAAAGATTAAACTTTTTTGCTCAAAATGAAATATGGTATATATGTTTATATTATTTATAAAGGAAAATAAAGAATGTAGATAATTTATTTAGAGGAGAATTTTGTTCGTTCAATTGTTTGGCTACATAAACTTTTATCATGACCCCACATAATCTCATTTTTCTATTTATTTCATTTTTTTTGTGAAAAGCAAATCACCACCAGTATAATGTTTCAAGTTATAAAGCACCATTGTAACCCCGTATTCCTGATCAACCCAAGTATAATGTTACAAGTTATAAAACACCATTGTAACCCCACCCATATTCCTAATCACTACATGTATAATGTTACAAGGCTTTTTCCTAAAGGATTGGTAATATGAAGCTAGACGATGCAAATCTAGCTCACGATCATTTTTGAACTCAAAGTGTATATTTATCAAAACATATAGTAGAAGTTGAAACCAATAAGTATAATATATGTTTGCACCAAACTTCGAGTTCAGTAAGTATTCTATATGCTAGAATGTGTAATATATTTGCCTTCGAATGAGCTTGTATAAAGTGTGGTTATCAATGGTGGTCGTGATAACAAAGGTGTTTGGTGATTGATAACGATAATGGTGATGGTTAGTGATTGTGGATAGAGTGGTAAATTATCTAGACAAGATATTAAGACTTTGTTCAACACTTAAGATTAATTAAATGCTTAAATCTTAATGATAACATATGCACTTAATGACGTAAGGTCTAAATCATTCAGATTCAAGTTGCAAAATGTTGCAAATCGGTCATTTCACTTTACATGGTGATGAGTATGAGATTTCAAAATATAGAAGAAAAATCGATATGGATGAGATAAACTGAGTGTTAGATGTTATTTGGTGAAATGCAAACAATAGCTTGTGTTTTACAAAAGGAAAATCAAATAATTATGTAACACCAAGATATGTACAAAGTCTCAAGTTCACAAAAAATTTCATATTCAGAGTTAAATTTCAGGAAGATGCTTCGCGTCATTGTGATGAAAGAAGTGATTAGTGGTTGTGGTTGGTGAGTGTGACAATGAATATCATCAACAAAATAATACATCTTAATGATTCTAAGACTTTGTTCAAGATCATAATAATTAAAGACTTGTTCAGACTAATTCAATGCTTAAATCTTATAATAAAATCTGATAGGTAAATAGTCTCACTTCCATCTCCCTTTAAAGGAATACAGATTAGTGAGAATCATAAAACCCTATTGGAAACTAGACAATTGCTAATATAGAAGTCTATAGCATAATATTTCGTTGGAAACTAGATAATACAAGACGAATGAATAGATTTTTTGCCGATAATAAAGTAGAGAATTAAGGTACTAACAGCTCTGGGACTATTATTATGCACGTCAAAAAGTGTCTACTGATTAGTCTTTAAGTCTGTTGTGATATAGGTAGTTCACTTTTTTTAAGCCATGATTTCAGTAGCCACACACTTGTTATTTATTGGGTGGAGTTTGAAGCTTCTCGCTTCTGATGCATCCTAGCTGATTTATAGCCTCCTCCAACTCCCATTTAGTCTTTCACTTTCCAGAATTGGGAAGGTGTGACTTCCATCTAAGTTGAATTTCTTTGAGCGTCATATCTCTATTCAACTTTTCACCACAACAAACAATATTCACCTGCACAAAATGATATAAAGACGATTCAATGGCAAAGCAGTACTCTAGTGATATTTTCAACATAACTTCATGTAGTATAAAATAAAAAAAAATTCACTGTCCTAGCTATTTATATTTGCTGGTCTTTTAATCGGAGAGATCATCAATTGTTTAAGTTCCT